TAAAAAAATGCGTATTTCTTTTTCTAATTTTTATTTCACTTTTCCACAATTTCTCTGTATAAGTGCGTCAGCGCCTCCTGCCAAGCTCTCGCCTTTGTGGGTCCGACATTTACATGACGGATGACGTGGCAACCTTTCCAGTTCTAACCTTCCCCTATTTAAACCCCCTTGAACCTTCCCAAGCTCATCACAGTTCACAGTGCCTCCTCCCCCCTCCTGAACCCTGATCACAAACTCCCTCTCTTACTCTCTTTTTCCTCTTAACAAATTTTGATAAAATCTCCCTTTTGAAATGGCTGTTGATTCTTCTCTCTCATCTCCGCTGGGTCCACCAGCATGCGAGAAAGATGCAAAAGCTCTGCAGTTCATAGAGGAAATATCTCGAAATGCCGATTCTGTTCAAGAGAGAGTTCTGGCAGAAATCTTAAGCCGAAACTGCCAAACTGAATACCTTAGAAGGTTCAAACTCAATGGTGCAACGGACCGAGACACGTTCAAGTCCAAACTTTCAGTTATTACTTACGAGGACCTTCAGCCTGAAATCCAGCGTATTGCTAATGGTGACCGCTCTGCTATTTTATCAGCCAACCCCATCTCAGAATTTCTCACCAGGTTCGTATATGAACTGTAAATTTTCGAACTTAAAGAAAAAAGTTTAAAAAAAGGAAGAAATTAGGATATATATATTTTTGATGCTGATGTTTGAATTTCCTGGAAAATTGTGCAGCTCAGGGACTTCAGCTGGTGAGAGGAAACTCATGCCAACAATTAAGGAAGAGCTAGATCGCCGCCAGTTGCTCTACAGTTTGCTCATGCCAGTTATGAATCTGTAGGTATTTTAAAAATGATACGCTATAGTTTTTACGTTAGTATATTTGGTTTTGTATTCTTTCTTTCTTTAATTAATGGAACGCGCTTTCTATGTAACAGTTATGTGCCAGGTTTGGACAAAGGCAAGGGGCTATACTTCCTGTTTGTAAAATCCGAAACAAGGACCCCAGGTGGCCTCTTGGCTCGCCCTGTTCTTACCAGCTACTACAAGAGTGACCATTTCAAGACACGACCATATGACCCTTACAATGTTTACACCAGCCCCAACGAAGCCATCCTCTGTCCCGACTCGTTCCAGAGCATGTACACGCAGATGCTTTGCGGTCTCCAGGAACGCCAACAAGTTCTCCGTGTTGGTGCGGTGTTTGCTTCAGGTTTACTCCGAGCAATCAGGTTCCTTCAGCTGAATTGGCAACAACTCACCCTGGATATCGAAACAGGTGCCTTGAATCCAAAAGTCATCGACCCTTCAATAAGGGAATGCATGGCTAAGTTCCTGAAACCCAACCCTGAGCTTGCTGAGTTTGTTCGCCAAGAATGTTCAAAGGACAGCTGGGAGGGAATCATTACAAGAATTTGGCCCAACACAAAATACCTTGACGTCATAGTTACTGGAGCTATGGCACAGTATATCCCAACCCTGGATTATTACAGCGGTGGGTTACCTTTAGCATGTACCATGTACGCTTCATCCGAATGTTATTTTGGTTTGAACCTTAACCCCATGTGCAAACCATCAGAAGTTTCTTATACCATCATGCCAAACATGGCATACTTCGAGTTCTTACCCCACGAGCCTAACTCAGCTAGTCTCACTCCTGACTCGCCTTCTAAACTCGTTGACCTTGTGGATGTGGAAGTTGGGAAAGAATACGAGCTTGTAATCACAACCTATGCAGGATTATGCAGATACCGAGTCGGTGACATTCTCCGAGTCACTGGGTTCCACAACTCAGCTCCGCAATTCCATTTCGTAAGGAGGAAGAACGTGCTACTTAGCATTGACTCAGACAAAACCGATGAGGCCGAGTTACAAAAGGCAGTTGAAAATGCTTCCCATCTCTTGCGTGAGTTCAACACCAGTGTCGTTGAATACACGAGTTATGCGGACACAGCAACAATACCTGGTCACTACGTGATATACTGGGAGTTGTTAGTGAAAGACTCCGCTAACGCGCCTAGTGATGAGGTCCTGAAACAGTGTTGTTTAGCAATGGAGGAGTCTCTCAACTCAGTGTATCGACAAGGCCGAGTTGCGGATAACGCAATAGGCCCACTAGAAATTCGCGTGGTAAAAAGTGGCACATTTGAAGAGTTAATGGATTACGCCATATCAAGAGGGGCGTCCATCAATCAATACAAGGTTCCAAGGTGTGTGAACTTCACTCCAATCATGGAGTTGCTGGATTCTAGGGTGGTATCCGCTTATTTTAGCCCAGCTTTGCCACATTGGACCCCAGAAAGGAGAAGGTGATTTACTGATTTATTTAGCCACCGACCAGATTAAGTCAATGAGATGGCTATAATTTGTAGATTCTCTTTGTTTTCATTTTTTTATCTACTTGAGTTTTTTTTTTCTTTTTTTCTTCTTTGGAGTAAGCTTTTGGTGAAAGGTAAAAGTGTAAGTTGGATTAGGATGTTTCAGGGTCAGGTTTGTGTTTTGATTCAAAGGATGTGAGCTAAAGCTGATGTCTCTCCCACTGCATTGTTCCTTTCATGTAATGTAACAGATATGGTTTCTTTTGAACATGTTGATCTTTCTTGCTTTAATATCCTTTGTCTTTGTCTTTTGTTTTCAACATTTGTTCTTTGTGAAAGGCACAGGAACACGCTTTATCAATTCACAAAAATGAGAAGAATAAGAGAGAGAAAAAAAAAGTAGTGTAGGAAAGCAGATTGAATGGAGTACAGATTATTATAATGTAACTAGAATTGTTTATATAAGCAAGTTTGGTTGGAATTTCGTAGTTTTCAACAATTGTTTATCTTCCAAAGTGGAAAATTATTTCCAGGATCAGTTAGTGGAGGAAAATGACAGCAGTTTGTCATTTGCAAATTTCATTTGGTTTTCCACAGTAAGAAAGGGAGAAAGAACGGTGGTGAATTACACAAGTCAAATTGGAATAGAGATAAAGAGCATTACAGCGTTAGCTGAAAGACTTCCACATCAAGAACCTTTGCTGTTAGACGGTATTTTGGAAGTCAAGGTGGAAAACATGCGCGATGTTCATCGCTTCATCGTCATAAAAGTTCGGGATAATTTGATATTTTTTGGAATGAAAGTGGCTCTAGTAATTACTGATGCTGACACTTCCGACATAAAACACTTTTTTGATAATTCACTTTGTTTGGCCTTTCCCAGTGAATTGTCTGGATTGTTTCCAACCACCCCTGTTATGGAATGATGTGGATTTGTAAATTCACTGAATCTGAAAAAGCAAGTAAATTACAACAGTGTCAATAAAGAAAAATAATGCATTTTCTTTGAACGACTTTTATCAACCCTTCAAGTAATTTTCAGATGATCAATCCATTTAAAAGTGTTGATCCCCCGTTAACATGCTTCACAGTTGAATATATCATATCTGAAAAGGAAATGTCTTGAACAAATTTATTAAGTAATCCATCTGATATGCCTGGCAAGATCTTTAAGGGCCTAGTGCTTCATATCTGATTGACAATTAGTGAGTTTCAATAACTAGAGGCTGATGACCTGTTTCCCTGTTTAAGGAGTTGCTTTAGAGACGCATTAAGTAAGTTTGCCGGGTGTGGCTTCAGGCCAGAGCAGACCAGAAACATAAAGAAACAGCCCATTGTCTGTCCGAACTCCAAACACACTGGGGACCAAAGACTCCCTATCCTGATTTCATCCCCTTTGTACATCCTTAAAGTTTGATTGCAAATATGCAATCAGTGCATGATTTGTTTCTTATTAGATTAATAATTCTGCTTTTGCAATTACAGAGGTCATTCCCGATTCTGGTTTTTGCTGCCTCTCTTAAAAGCTCAGGAGTGGGATCCATTTAGCAAAAGGAGATTTAAGGATACATCTAGTAGTGTTTTGGGAACTTACTCGATGTAATTTTTAAAGATTTAAGATTAAAAGTGTGAAAACATTTTTAATTTTAATTTAATAATAATTTAAGTCATTAATATTTTACGGTAATCAATTAAATTTTTAAATTTTTATTTCAACTCAATTAAAATTTTAAATAGATGAACTCTAATAATTAAATGAAATTTAATAAATACAATAAATTGAATCCTCACAATAATTTAAAAGAAAAGACAGAAAAAATTATTTATTAAATTTTCACATATATTAATTACATTACTCGACAAATTTTTACTTATATTTTATTAATATTATACAAAATTTTATCTTAATTAATTTAAATAAAAATTTAATTAGAGGCAAACAAATATTGGAATGATTTATTGATTACAATAATAAAATAAACATTTATATAATTTTTTAATTTTAATTTAAAATATTTTTTATACTTTTTAATTTAAAATTAATCATAAAAAATAATTAGAATACGATAAAAATCTCTTTGGGCATCCTGGCAAAATGAATCTTAAGCTTTGACATAATCTGTCAAATCCAGCTATATTGTTTGCATGTGAAAACGTTGTACTTCCTTTCATATTGTTGTTTTTTATGTATTTTTCACTTACAACCACTATCTTTCCTGAAATAAACCAACAAATTGATTAGTGTAATCAGATGTTCTTGATTTCATAAAGCATAGTAAAATCTTGTTATAGTGGAAAAATGATCCAGCCGAAAGAATTTTTCTTAAAAAAATTACGATTTAGCAGAAATTTATAGTAATGTTTAAAATAAAATTTGTCATTATATTTTGTTTTAATTTTGTATTTTATCATTATATTTTAATTTTACAAAATTTTAGAACAATATTTTTATTTTTATTGATTTTGAATACTAAAAGATAATTCTGATTTCATGGAATATTCTAATTCTATTATTTTTTATAAAATTAATAAAATTAAAAAATTCTGACAATTTCACTATGATAATAAATTTGAGTCTAATCTCTTTTGTTTTTTATATTATCATAATAATTTAAAAGAATTTAACTATTTTTTTGAAATAAAAAAGAAACCGAATATTTGTATTTATATTTAAACAGAAAAATGGAAACGAGAGAGATAAGCCACGCCAGCTATATAATGTAACTGTGTTGACGGTGTGACGGTGTTCCGTTACGTCTAACGTTACCCGGATGGTTGGATTTATCTTTTGTGTTTGCTTCCTCCAACCAATTGTGGCTGCCGTTAGCGCTTGAGCGAAAGGAAAAACATAATTGGCGGAGAGAGAAGAGAGGAAAAGGGCTGAGAGTAGTGGTGGTGGCAAGATTCAACTGTATGGCCACCTCTCTTTCCTCTTTCTTTTCCTCTCATCTTCCGCTTCCTTCCTTCTCTTCCCAATCACATTCAATTTCAAAAGCCTTTCTCTTTCCTTCCTCTCTCTCCTTCCCCGCTCTTCGCTCTCTCTCCTCTTCCAACCTTAGAAATCTCCCCAAAATTCCTCTTCTTGCTTTCTCTTCCAATAGTTTCGAAGCCTCTCCTTTCCATGATGCCTTCGGTTCCAATCCTACTCCCTCTAAGGTCAGCTTTTCCAAATCAGTTTTAATTTTGGAAAGTTATTATCTTTTTCTTTGTCACAATTTTCTTTTTATGAATTTGAAGTAGTGAGTAATTGGCAAATTGCTAAATTAGATTGGAATTGCTGATTTTAGTTTAAGTATTTCTGCTTTGCTCAACTGATAATGCAACGTGGATGAAAAAAATTTATCTATTTCAATATTGTTGAACTTGTTAGGATTGGAAATTGGGGATTGCCGCTAATGGACGAGAACATTTTTATTTTAGATTTTTATTGAATTGTTTTAGGATTATTTAAGATTTATCATTTCATTGGTTGTTGAGAAAATGTGGGGAATTGTGCAAAATTATGGTACCAAATTTTAATAGGAACGAAAAAAAGAGTGTTCATCTACAGAGCTGAAACTGACGTAATATTACACTTTAGCTGTTGTCTTGAATTGCTATAATTTAAGTTCTGCCTTTTGTTTTGTTTACTCTTTATATTAGATGTTCATGTTATGGTTATATATTAACGATATAGATGTAGCCAATGTGACTTACAGTTTCCTAATTAGATAAGTAATCTTTCAAGTTACATCCTCTTTAACTTTCTCTTGAAAATGTTGTCTGAAAGGAATAAAAACCTCATTATGGACTATAGCCTGGGAGGCAATTTATTTCCCGGAGTTTATGGGCATTTCATGTGGATGTTTTATTGGAGTCTGCTTCAGTTTTTCTACACATAATGACATTATAGAACCTGACTAATGAATACTTTTGGGGGACATATACATACCTTAACTTTAACACATCCACATAAAATAAGTGCCAATTTGAAGTGGAGGGTTATATATGTGAATCACATTCTGAGAGGGGTTGCTTAAGAAGTCAATAAGTCTTGGAGGAAAAGCCGAGATGCTGACTCTCTTGTTTTCCTTTCACATGAGAAGGCTCCCATTTGTTTGCCTTGCCCATGGGTTTCGGGAAATTCCAATTAAAATGACCAATATATTTGAGCTGTTGTTTATTTGTGATAAATGCTAATATTTACTAGAATTAGTAAAGATAGGCACTACTATTTATAGTTTTCGAATTAATGCATATATGTACTATTTTCAAAGTGCTTTTCCAGCAATGATATAGAAATTGACTTTTATAATTTTCTTTCAGAAATCAGTCCTCACCAATCTGATACAGGAGATAGAACCATTGGATGTTAGCCTTATCCAAAAAGATGTCCCCCCTACAACTGTGGATGCCATGAAAAGGACTATTTCAGGCATGTTAGGTTTACTTCCATCTGATAGGTTTCAAGTCTCTATCGAAGCACTATGGGAACCTCTCTCCAAGTTGTTGGTTTCTTCTATGATGACTGGGTATGTTCAGGTTCTTCATGATATGCGCCATTATAGTAAATGTTTCTATACTCTGCTTGGTTGCCAAGAGGGTGAAACCTTAGCTACGGGCTTTGAATCTCTCTGTTTGTTTGACATACCATCAACCACATTCTCTATTTATCCCTCTTTATGGCCAACAAGGGTTTAATATATTAACATTTGTTGAGGAAAAAAGCCAAATCTTGAGTCCATCTGCCCATGTAGGGCATGCCAAAAATGCCAAAAATGTATATTGGGCACCACTTGAACTCAAAAGCCATGTGTATATTTCACATTTAAATCCCATTTCTTCTTAATGTGGCACAATCACTTTCACATGTGAATCTTTAGAACTTTTTTTTTAATATTGATGTTAAGATCATAAGTTTAAATGCTTGATGTTCCGTGAGACATCAGAGTAGCATTTACATCCAATGAATGTCTGTCAGAATATTGGGAGTATCATGAATAATAGTTCTTCTTGATTTGCAGTTATACATTGAGGAATGCTGAATATAGGCTTTGCCTTGAAAGAAACCTTGGTTGTGAAGGAGATTTGGAAAATCAAACTTCAGAAAAGTCAAACTTTGATTTACAAGAGATGTTGTTAGACAGTACAAAAACAAATGAATTTTCAGGGAAAAATGATTTGTCCTCTGAATTTGAAAAAACGACTGAAGACGATTTTGAAGATATTGAATTTCAAGGCCTGGGTGAAATGTCCCTGGAAACTCATAAATACATTCTTCATTTGAAGTCTCGTCTAACTTCAGTTAAAAAGGTATGAAATAACATAGAGGAGCCTCTCATAGTCCCTTTTTTTTCTTTGAATCCGTAAAGCGTTTAACTTGATATATTGACTGGAGAAAATTTTACCTTTGTTTTTTGTGTGCGAGTTTGGTTAATTATAAAATCATCATAGTTTGAATCAGTTTGAACCATTCAAAAGATGCTATAAGGGCCTAAAAGATGCCATTGTCTCTTATTCAGGGTGGCCCTAAACAACTTTGAACCTCTCTCTTACCCTTGTTAGTTCCTTTTTTGGCTGATACAACATCCATTTGCTGATATTTATTTAACATTCTCCTTTGAAAGCCTCTGTTTTCCATTGGAGATAGAATATTAAGCCAACTTGCTATGTTATGCATTCCAAATTGTTGGTATTAGCATTATGAAAGAATTTAGATATATCAAGAAACATGAACTATCTAGAAATAATAGTAGTTATTTGTTACACATGCTGATCTGATAAACTGAATACATCATCTGATGGAAACATCTGAGGGATCAGAAAACTTAATTTGATATGGTAAACTTGTCTTTCTTCCAGCATCGCTATCAAAGTTGTATATTTGAGAGTTAACCCCCATAGAAAAATTGGCAAGGTATGAAAGTTTATGGCTTTTCAAAATCTAAATTCCATGAGAGGAATATTCCACGGTTGATCAGGATCAGAAATTAAGGATTGCATCATACATGCATACTATATGAAAAGAATGAACCTTCTCAAATTGGTGAACATCTCATTTTTCCTTTTCATATATCTGTACTTATCATATATTTTTGTGTTTCGATTTCGTCAAAATCCTTATCTGCAATACATGCTCATATTTCTCTTCTTGCTTTATTGAAGGAACTTCGTGAAGTCAAGAGGAAAAATGCTGCTCTGCAAATGCAACAGTTTGTTGGGGAAGAAAAGAATGATTTACTTGACTACTTAAGATCATTACAACCAGAAAAGGTTTCCCTTGATCTCAAAAACTTCCTAAAGCAAAATTGATTTGCTAATACCCCATTAACATGATTCTATGAATGTAATATCTAGTTATAATTATACAATTTAAATTCTTTGCTTTTTCTCCATTAATATGAATGGCATATTGAAATAATTAAAAAGAGCATTTGCAATGTCACAATTTCATGTCCCCAGTTGTATAGGAATGAGGTGCAGCTTTTGGTTTAAAGGGGTACCTTTGTTTAGTGCAAATTGAAACAGTACTATTTGCAGCCAAGTGTTTTTGGTTTGAATCTAAATGGATATTTCTTTTCTATTGCAGCCAAGTGTTTAACCTGTCACATGAAACTGTTTCTTTAGCAATGAAGTTAAGTAAATCTTATACTGTCATGGCTAATAAAATTGTAACATAAATTTCAGGTAGCCGAGCTTTCTGAACCAACATCTCCTGAATTGAAAGAAATGATCCATTCTGTAGTCCATGGTCTCCTTGCCACCCTTTCTCCGAAGATGCATTCCAAGGTTCCTCCTTTGTCAGAGAACACCGCAACTGGAACTGTAAATATTGGGAGTGAAGATTGTGCCGAACTTGTTGAGGATACTTCACTTCAATTCCAGCCCTTCATTTCATTAACACGGGACTATCTTGCTCGCCTTCTCTTCTGGTTTGTCCAGCTCTCCCCCAACCTTAATATGGTTTCTGGTGTCCAAGAAAGCATTGTTTCTATTTCAAAATTTTAACAGTAAATCTGCATTGCTGCATTTATTGCTCATTATATAGTTGGATCATGTTTAAATTTGAATTTAATATTGTATTTGACCTGTACAATTAGGAAGAATGAAAATTGATAACGTGTGCATATACGGATCTGAGAGATGTTTTACATGTTTAAACTCTGAATGAGCTTAAATCACCCCTTCAAACATTCAATGGAAAAATGTCTGAATCCTATGATATTATTATTCAGGTGTATGCTGTTGGGGCACTACCTTAGAGGCCTTGAGTATAGGATGGAACTAATGGAACTTTTATCCTTGACAAGCAGTCCCGACAATAATGGCTGTGGTGATGAGCAGATTGTTTAGAGTTGCTTTGATAAATTTGCTTCCATCCGTAAATAGAAATGTGAATCGGCAGGCGACTAACTTCTTTTTCAGCAAGAGTTTCAGGAAGAGGCAGGAATTGAACAAGATTAGGCCCTATACTGTCTTGCAGATGGAGAATTATTTTATGTATAATAAAAGGATACATTGTTTTCGTTAATGTCGGAGTGTATTTCAATGTTGTTGTTTCTTATTAGCAATCGCATACTAATGTTTTACGATTTACCAAAAAAGGACGAAAAATGTTGTTGTTATTGCTTTTTAGTATTCGCGCGAAGAAATGTTTTATTGAATTTTCTCCTCTACGAATGTTTTCAAGATGGAATTTTATCTTCAACTTTGATTGCCTTCAGCTATGCTTACATGCATTTTGCCATCCATCCATTTTGATCAGCTACCATAAACCTGAGAACTTTTAACCCTTCATCTTTCTTCTCTGTTCAGTTTCTTCCACTTCGTCCTCTCGAAATTCCCAAATCTATCTGTTCTGTTAAAAGGCCGTATTTCACATTCTCATCTCCTCCAAATCCATGCCTGTATGTATCTGTAGACATAATGCTTATCAAGATTTGCATCCCGAAATAGAGGGCACATGTTGTACATGGAATGGATTAGCCAAAACGTAACAAGTCCTTAGAAAACACATGCATGCGGCAGCCATTAATAGAATTTCCGAGCTTCTATTTAAGATGGAGTTCTGATTGTTGTGCGTGTGTGTGTGCCTATATATATATATATATATATATATATATATATATATATGTGAGTGAGAATGGATCAAGTTACACAAAAAAAAGTTTTATATTTTTTTATATTTTTTTAACTATTAATTTCAATAGATTCAATAGATGAGAAAGACAAATAAAAAATAATGATTTAATTTCATTTTTTAAAAACATTAAAATCAATGGTTAAAACTAAAAGAATTTATATTGATATAATTGATCTCTTTTCCATATGTATGTATTATGTGGGGAGGGATCAAGTTACAAAAAAAAAAAATTTAAATTTTTTTTACAATTTTTTTAATAATTGATTTCAATATATTAAATTATTTTTTTTCACTTATCTCTCTCATCTCTTATATTTATTAAAATCAATGATTAAAAAAATGTAAAACTTTTTAGTTTTATATTGATATAAGTTAATCCCTCCAATATTATATATATATATATATATATATATAGAGGGTAAGATAAACTTATATTAGTATAAAATTTTTTAATTTTTATATTTATTTTAATCATAGATTTTAATACATTCAAGATGAAAAAAACAAGCGAAAAAGAGATTAAAAAAAAGGCCTAATTTCAAATATATTAAAATTAATTATTAGAAAAACGTATAAAACTTTTTTTTTTAAAATTGATCCTTTCATTATATATTTATTTATGGGACAATATCAACTTATATTGGTGTAAAACTATTTAATTTTATATTTTTTTAATCATTCATATCAATGATTAAATATGAATGATTAAAAAATATAAAAAATATAAATTTTTTTATGTAATTTTATAACTCCCTATATATATATATATATCTTAGTTTTTAGTTTATTTATTGAATTGATGAGAAGATAATCTCATCAGTGATCATCGGAACGCGGAAATCTTTCATTTCCTATTTACATTGTTTTCCATAATGACGACTTGCTTGTCGCCATCTCTAGAAACCTCAAAAATCTGTTCAACCGGCAAAGTTCATAGACAAACGGTCAAAGGTGACAAAATATTACTATACCTCAATCGAGAACCATTTTTCATTGCACCATATATTCTATTATCAGAGCTATGAAAAAAGAAATTAAACAGCGAGTTGTATCTCTGTAGACCACATTAATGCTTACCAAGTTTTAGAAATTTATGATATTTTTTCTTTGTCGTACGTAGCAAGTTATCAAAATATGATTTGAAGAATAAGGTTTTTAAATAAAGTGTTAGGAAAACTAGATAAAAAGATTAATTATTGAAGATAATTACTCATTTTTTTAATACATTGAAGGTGAGGATTGAAATTGTTTGAACCGAATCTAAATCTTATCATTTAATCAAAAGATTGTTGATGATATTATTAATTTTTTAATTTATAAAGACAACCTATCTTTCAAACATTAACTAATTACTAATATTTTTAAAAATATTAACTTAGGGCAAAAAATATGTGCCCCAATTGTCCAGCGCTGTGAATCTTGACAACTTAATTAATGAATTATAACCTTCGGGCATTTGGTAGAATAATGATTAATTTATTATGAATAACAGAATTGAGGGATTCAATGTCCGAAATTAGTGAATATAGTTTTAATAATAAAATATATTTTTGAAGTTAAACAGAGTATGTTTCCTTGTTTGATAAAAATACTGCTGTTAACCTTTCTGAAGTAGCTATACTTCTCTTACAACCCGTTTGTTTCCCCCAGGGGACTGACTTCGATTTCAACTCACAACGAAGGAGTCGGACGAATTGGCTTACGCTTGTCCACGTAGATTGATGAACAACCCTGATCTTCAATACTGCTGGGATAACACAAGGGCCATGACTGGCTTGGAAGTGAAAGATCACTTGCATGATTTAATGGTTCACCAGTTCGCCAATTATCTTATTCAGAAACTCTTCGAAGCAGGCAATCAAGAACAAAGGACTGAACTGCTTCTCTTGCTCGTTAGCAGCGAACAAAAATTCCTGAATGTTCTGCCATTGTTGAAGCCTATTGCTGTTACGTTGATAAACAACACCCATGGTCATCATATAATTGAACACTGCTTAAATAAATTCTCAAATGAAGATACAAAGGTAACATATACTATAATTTCAAAATTTGCATCTTCTATGTTTGCAATTATATGTATTCTCAAGTCAAGAACCACTCCATTGATCAATGCATCCTATGTTTATGAGGGAAAATGTTTTTTTTTTCCTTTTCTTTTCGGGAAAAAAAGGTTGTGGTGACTGCAATATAGGCTTAAAACACTCTGAGGTTCCATTACACATCATTTTTTTTGGGGGACGGGGGGTGTTGGTAAAACTTGTTATTGGTAGCTTTCGGATAATTCAAATCACTCTGAAAAACAATTGGTGCATCAGCAACAAGTGTGTGCATGGCTAATCCACATCATTTTACATCAATGTTTCATGTAACTAACTATTAACTATATACACTAACATTACCAATCTATAAAAATAATAGGAGAAAAGATTATAGTAATTATGAGAATCATTAGTTCATTAAATCTCTCTTTGTCAGAACAGTTCATAAATTGCTCAACTAACTTCGATGAATCAAGAAAAATTCTCTACATATTGCATGACTGACTTTCATCACAAAAACAATGAAAGCAAATGATAAACAATTAATGTATGCATGACTTTTTTAAATCATAGAAAAAAGGTTTCATGCATGTAAGTGTCAGCTAAAGGATTTATTATTGGATTTCTGATGAACAAACATTAATTTTCATTGGCAGCACCTTGTGGATGAAATTATCAAACATTGTATCGACACTGCAACTGACAAAAGCGGCTGGTGTGTATTGCAACAATTCTTGGCCCATGCCAAAGCAGAAGCTATGGAGCGTCTGCTGGCTGAAATTACGGCAAATGCGTTTATTCATTCTAAGCATCCCAGCGGGTTTGTCTTTCTAAATCGTTTTCTATTTAAAAGAGTATTTATATCACAAAATCAACAAATTTGGATAATTAAACCAATCTGATTTATATCATATGGATGATTTATAATTATAAATTAATCATAATTATTATTAACAATTTTATTTCACAATTAACTATAGTAATCAGATTTATCTCCAAGTACTTTTCACATTTTGATTTTTCTACACTAACTATGTTGTGCAGTATGTTACTCTTTCCATGAATAAGTATGGCAGCAATGTGGTTAAGAAATGTTTAAAAAGATGCTGTGCAAGAGCATTCTGCAAGGATTATCACAGATATTATGCATGATCCAGACTTCTTAAAGCTTCTTCAAGATCCCTATGGCAAGTTGTTCAATCACCATTGCATGTTTCTAAGGTTATACTTCTTCAATCTTCATTCCCTTCTTTTATTTTCCTATGCACAGTCTCCAATATATGCTGCACTTGATTATTGGTAAAAAGCAAAAAAAAAAAAACTTGGACATAATACAATTGAGTTTTTTGATAATAAGACTAAAAATCAAATAATGGTTATGTTAATTTCGGTCCTAAACCCTATTTTGTATACTTTTGTTAAAAGCAGGGAGATCTCCACAATACCCTTGTTGAATTCATACAACATCATTATCCATTTCTCCACAGCCATCTGTTAGGGAAAAAGCTATTGGCTCGAACCAAATGGCGCTACAACCGTGTGTATAACTAAGCATTGTAACGCTGTAAGGAAGAAAAAAAAAACTGCTTTTATATGCCTGTGGTTATGACAACTTGTCAGGTTTTTTTTAAGGTTTGGAACTAATAATATCTAAATGGATTTTTAATTAGGATGCTATAGTCGTCGTCTGTCTACTCATGTCTGTTGTTTCGGCTGTAAATGTTTGATGTCAGGTAAGCACCAGCTATAGAAAAAAGTACTAGTGCATTTTCTATCCATGGCATGGGTGGTTGGTTGTTATGACATTGATATATGGTGTTCCCTTTGTTGGTAGTTCTATAATATCTTTTATTAGGTTTCTTTGTCTTTCTTTGTGTATCGAATCCGGGGAAAGAGTATCTGATGTCTTATTTGGAGATTTTCCTTTATTATGATTATTAATACCTGATTTCTTGTTTGAAAATTTCTATGAGTGATTGTTAGATATGGATTTTTTTTATTTAATAAACCCTTTTTATCAAACTCCAGCAATGACAATGCATTCTTTGACCCAAAAAAATGTATTAATTATAAAATAACTTTCTATAAATATCATATTAATAAGTGCCAAGAAATACTCTTTTAACATTTTTTTTTCTGGAAAAATATAGGAAATTCAAAGTTCAACTCTCCCATTAAGCAAAAGGATAGAATTTTTTTTTTAAATAGTGAAAAGAATCTTTTCCCTGTACAGCAACCATGAATTCACATTTTAGGGTGCTTAATCAATGTACTTCTTGACAAATGCCCAAGCTTATCAATTGAGAAGTCAATGCCGCTCTTCGATCTTCATGTTTCAGTCTTTCAATTTTCATCATTCTCACAAACCAAAGATTAGATGCACAAAATTGCTTATTATAAGGGTTAATGGGAGCTATATATATATATATATATATATATATATATATATAAACTAAAAATAAGATGATACTATTCCTTTATAAAAACATAGATCATACAAAAGCATTTGACTCAATTTTGATACAAATCTCCCCGTTCAAAGAGCAAGCTTCAAATCCTCTTTCCCCAAATCAAAAAAACATAGTTCATACAAGAACAAAAAATTGCATCAAAGAGAATGGATTGAGCATAATACTTGAAGGACTGAATGGCCTCATATAGCAAATGGAACAGTCATTTGCTTTTAATAGTAAAGATGGAATGTTGATGAATCTTGTTGACTTGCATTGAAACATATAGAAGATTACAGATCCAAACCCCCCAAATTTAATCTGAATCGGATGAGTCTGCATTTGAGCTTTGCCGGAGATTCCTCTTGGTCTGTGTACCAGACTTTGATGTATGTAAAGATGATTCACCTTCAGAGAAGATGACTTGAGCTTTAGCCAGCCTCTCCTCCAAATCTTCTGTGGCAAACTCATCTGTCCCGCCAAGCTCATCAAATCCAACCTGAAAACACAAACATCAAGACAGACGGAGGGAACTATTAGAAACAGAAAAAAAAGGCGCATGCAATTCAAATATTATGTTTATATCCTTTGATGTTGGAACTAGCATTGCATACCACATAATCATCGACTTTGGCATTTTTGATAAGGGCAAGTGTAGGAAGAACAACAATCTTGAGCCTCTCAGCCAAGAAAGGACTTTTCTCGGCATGGATTTTCACGAAACGTGTCTCTATATGCTGCTTTGCCAATATAGTCAAGTGCTTGTCCATCACCTGCGATTCAGCTCAAAAAAGATTTCTTTTGCCTAAACTTCAAACTACAATGAAAACCCACACTAACTATTTGTTTTTTTTTTCATTCCATCAGTTCATTTTCTCCATAAAGTTTTCTTCTTTGTTCCAATAATTTCATTATTCATTAGCATTTCAATAGCAACAAGCAAAATTTCAAAATTTTTTTTTAAAAAAGAAGATTTCTTTTTAGTATAACCTTGCAGGGCCAATTCTCGCGATAGAAGTGGCAAACAACGCGCTCACTAGCTTTAACTATTGAAAAGAAGTCCTTTTCAGCTGGAATCTCAGAGTATTCACCGTGGCCTAGACCCAGCCAACGGCTCCGCTTCTCCGCCATCTTCTTCATCTGCTGCAACCTACGCTCTCTAATAGCCTCCAGATCGTCGTTGTCGAGGCGATCCAGCGCCGCGATCTCTTCATCGATCGTTTCCTCGACGGCCCTCGCCACCGTCAGCACCTGCTTCTCCAGGATCTGGACAGGAATGAAAATGAACAGAATTTAGAAGACAAATTAAAGATTCGCACGTGCGAAGGAAAGCTAATGCCTTTATATTGAGGAAGGTTACCTCTTGAACCTTTGAATTTTCCATTGTTGGATTACAAGATCCCTGTCTCTCTCCCTCCCACTGGAATTTTAAAAATCGAAATGAATTTGGGCAGTGGAGAGAGTAAATGAGACGGGGATAATTTTCCGTTCTGAATATACGGGGCAAAATGGCTAAACGACGCCACTTTGCTTGACCCAAATATCAGCGTTTGGGCCTTCCTAGCCTGATTTATCAGTCCTGACACTGTAGTATGTTAGGTTTTTAATTTCCATTGAGAGAGAAGCAGTTTTTTTTTAATATAAATTAAAGAAAGATTTTATTTTTTTGAAAACTTTAACCTATTTTTAAATTTTTTACTCTATTATATATCTAATTAATTGAAGAAAATATTATTCGAGTAAACTCCTTAAACTTTCAAGTGCCAATTCCAACTTTAACCTCCAAATATTAATTTCAATAATATACCAATTAATCTAAGAAATAAAAAAAAAAACACAGTTAGATGCATTGGTTTCATACTTTTATTTCATACCATCATTTCTTATTTATGTTGACATTTTTTAGTTTAAAGATTTAAGTGAAATTATTAAAATTTTTATAAACTATAATAGAATTATTCATACTTGTATTTCTTATTTTAAAGATTTAAAAATTATTAAAATTTTTATAAATTTATCATAGAATTTAAAAATTTTATACATTATGAGTGAGTGAAACGAGTATATATAATTAAAAAAAAAAACTAAATCCATAATTTTAACAAGTAATGTATTCTATGTATGAAAAAGAAAAAAAAAAACTAAAATTTGACCCCAACATGTTTTTTACTTAATACAACTTAAATGACTTTTTGAAAATGAAAAATGTTAGCTGTTGATAATACCAACATATTTGATTCACTTCTTCATTGATTTTTTCTTTTTTTTGGTAAGAAAAAATGGTTACTGATTTATGGGATTCATGGACATGTCATTGTCAAAGATCAAAGAACATTAGTTTCAATTAACCAACATATGACATGACCAATCTAGTTTATTGTTGTTTTTGTCCGAATGGTTTGTTCAAAGATTTTGAGCAAACACTATTATATTCTCCTCTACCTTCCATGTTTGATCATTTCAAACCATCGTTTCTTTTGCAGCTAGGAAACACCAAAGGAAATAGACTGCACCAACCCTCAATAAAAACCAACGTGCAAGAGAAATTAATACTGCTGAAAAAGACCATGAAATAAAGGGCACAACAAATATTTTTATTATCATAAGCACATGCATACACGTCTTCCGTACAAATTAACTAGAAGTTCAGTTCGGGCATCTCTCTCTCTTTATGTTCTCTGGCTATCTAGCCCATTGATGGCTTAACTCAAATACAAATGTTGAAGCCTTCTTCAAGGGCACTTGGGTTTGCCCTTCTTGTTCACCTTGTCCCTATAGCAAGGGCACTCATGCTTGTTTCCATAAGTTCCTGAAGGAACACACTTGCACTCCTCGCAGCATAACCCACAGTACTTGATGCATCGATCATACACCGATGCCTTATTGCACCTCGCCTTGCACTTCCCCGCACAAAGAGCTGCACAACACAAACATCAAAGACGGTACATTAAGCATGCAGAGACTTGAAACTGTCAAAAAAGGAGATATCAATTAAAATTGCTCACGTGACCGAGGCTGTGCCATGACAGGTTCCAAAACTGAGCAACTTAGAAGAAGAAAGCAAACCAGCAGAGTTCCAAACAAGACCTTCATTTTTATTTTCTTTTAATTATATATGTAGAGAACTGTGAAGTGATTAGAATTTTCAGTGTAGGAGGAGAGTGAGGCGTTGAGTGGTACTTATAGTAAAGAAAAGCAAAAGGGGGCTGCAATAAATAATTTGCGACAGCTGGAAGTTTTTGGCTGAATTTGAAGGGAAAGGTCGGTGGGACGAGAGAGTAACCGGTGGGTTTCAAGCACGGTCCACGCGGTTTCTGCATGTGTCAATGCTGCTAGGACCTCCCTTTGGGTCCTGTCCTTTTGCGCCATTAAGAAGGGTCAGGTGAACCTAGTTAATGTTGTACTAATTAATTATGATTCCCCCCTGCATATTTTTGTCTTTTACGCATCCACTTTAATTTTATTTTCCAGCTAGTCAGTTGTTCGTGAGGCAAGGACCTTGGGCGAAGGAAGTTGCAATATTTTATATTCACAGCGTCTGAATGGTAAGTTTGGTTCTGGTCTTCTGGGTTTTGTCATGTGAATTCACTATCCAACCTCTCGAGAGAAAAGAGAAACTATTCTCTTTTTTGTTTGATTTCAATTTTCAAGTCGATGGAGCATCGCATCCACTCTCATATGGTCCATATTTGTCATGTGTTTGTTAAAAGACGTAACATTCAGTGGGAGAAAGACGATGTTTTTAAAGTGTTTTTCTAATCCTTCAAAAACCGGCATCATTTAATTAATTACTATCATAATTAGAAACTCATAAAGATTTCTCATGCATTAGTCCTCGACATCGTGGATACTTAACAATAATTTATTAATCCTTGAAAAACCCAAGATTAGATTTTTTTTTTTAACGAAAAAAATTCACAACTTAAAACCGGAAAAAAATTTTAGTTATCCAACGAAAGAAAAGGATTTAAGTCTTAAAGAGTTGCATTTCAGGAACATTGTTCCAAAGTACCCCAAAAAATCATTATTGGGCTTAAAAGAAAAAAATGTAAAATGTCTTACCCAACCCTAAAATTAAAACAGGTATAGAAAGGTCAAAAACCTAAACTTAAGGCCGCCAAGTACATCAACCAAAATAAAGTAGCCCATTACGTTCTCTCACATGCTACTGACTAACTGTTCTCAGCACAGTAACAGAAAGAACAAGTTTAATTGCATTTTATTTATAGTGCTAACCTTTATCAACTGCTGTTCTCACCCTATAGATTGAGAAAGTAACATGATGGGAAAAGGGAGATAATGCAGCTTTTGTATGTAAATAAAATTAACCTCCCATGCTATTGGACGGGCAAGAGCTCTGTCCAGGAGAAGATTCCTTGCTACAGTCAGAAGATGCCAGCAAATTGACCTGAAACAAGCGGTTTCAGCATCAATGGAAGATTGCAACACTCAGCAATATAAAAGAAAAACGAGACCTAAGCTGAGATTTATACCTTGACAATTTCGGACTTTGAGCTTGGTCTTGTATAGGCGGCTAAGATGCTCATGTTGAAAGCCTGGGAACAAGGTATTTGAAATTAATAAAAAAAAAAATACTGATAATTCTTGAATTAGGTTCAGTGAATGCCAATGCCAAGTTCACTGAAGCGCCAATACTAATGTGTCACCCATAAGGTATAAACATAGCCCTAAAATACAATGGATACAGTTATCATGGTCAACCAGCTATAAATTATTGGATTTGAAGGTTCATTAATGTAAGCAACATCATAGAAAACAGCCTGCTCTTAGTGTGTTCAGTTCTACCCAAGTTATAAATGATTTGAACGAAGAACTCACCAAAAGCAAGGTGAATGCAGTAAACCTATTTCTTGTTTACTGCATCAGAATACATGCTTCTAAACATGTAACTCATGTTTGAAAACCGTAAGAAACAAACAAGAAAACATGGTAAGCAAAAACCAAGTAGTGCCACTATTTGTGAATGCTCATTTAACAGAGATTAAAACAAACAGAAAACTAAGGATAAAAAAGTATTCACAAAAATTTTCAAAATGTCAATTTCAATATACATTTTAGAATCATTTCTTAGTTATGCACCTCTACCTACAACAGGGGAAAGGTATCACCAGAAAAATGCTAAACTCACCCTAAAGGGATCCCCCCTCAGTGATTGCACAAACATTGAACTCCCTGAGGCTTTTCCCTGCATAAGATAAATGCATTAATCTCCCCTTTTTGGTGATATGCAAATAAATCAACAAATAGGAGAAGAAAAATTGGAAAGTAAAGGATATAGAGGGTTGTTTTATCAGAAGCTAACCGCGAGGTAAGAAATTGGAAAAAGAGAATCCAACTCTCAAATTCTAAAAGTTTCTTTCCTCTCACATTTCTATGTACTTGCTCAGCTAATAAATTGTGCCTACTATTCTCTCTCCCTCAACCTAGTTCTTTCATTAGTTTACAAATGCATTTCTCTCTTGGCATTGTCTTCTTTTCAAGACAACAGTCTCTGAAAAAATTTTCAAACTGCTTAACCTAGTTTCTTGGTTTCTGGCTTTCCTCTTCATTAGCAGCCTGTTGACTTTTTCTTTTTTTTGCATTCTCCTATTCTATTTTTTACATTCCACCTTAATATAATGATTTACTGGAATAGCAAAATTCTAAAACCAAAAAAATCAGCCCAAGTTCAAACCCAAAGTTTTATTCCTAAAAGTTATTTCTGCTCATTCCATTCATATTATTAATCCTTTCATTTACAAATAACCCCACAAATGATGTATCAACATTTAAGTAATTTGGTACATTCCACAGAGAGAGAGAGAGGAACATATCCTGTCTTCAAAATTGGTCCATGGAAGGCACGTGTATCCATACTGAATCATTCTCTGTGTCATAAATCAGAGCACATTGATGATGGGCCAAAAATGTGCAAATTGAAAGACACATGTACCTCCAAAGAAATATCCCTGAGACGCCTCCCAGTTTGAGCACAGCAAACACGAACAACATGTTCATCACAGCTCCCACTTATAATATAGTCCTTACCATTCAGGTAGTAGGAACGAGTGTAATTTTGCAAGCTGCCAGTGGAAGGTATCTCAAAATTTAGGTGAAGCCTTCCATCGGCAGCTAGAAGCTGTCTTACCTGTAAATGTCAACATGTTAAACCAAAGTTCATACCAATATATACTTTAATTAAAAACCAAAGTAAAAGCCTGGTTTACATGGCACATACCTAAAAAGGAAAGGAGTAAAGATTTACAAATTACAATTAATAAAAAATTAAACAACAGAAAGAGTAGAGAGCCAACATGAACAAAAAGGCCCAAATGCAACGCTAAGAAAAGGCACATTTCAATTGAGTTTTGCAAGTCATGGCCAAAAGGGAAAAAAAAACTGAGATATTCAAGTTGACTGACAGGGCAAGTAAGTTATAGATTCTCTTAGAAGTACAATATAGTGATACTTCCACAACCACAAGAGTCATTACCCAAATTATGACCCTGCCAAAGTGTTGGTTTGTAACGGTGCTGTCTGATAACTTCGCATTTAGTGGCTACCATAACTTAAATCCACCCTCTTGCACAAGTAAGATTCAGAACGGAAAAATGAAGATATGAGCAAAAACCAAGAACCCCTATTATGAAGAAAACCAGCAGCTCTATCTACGGAAAATCTTTCACAAAAGCACTTAAGTCGTAGTAAGAATTTCTAGCTAAATTTATTCTTAACCAAATTTTGGTTTTATATCCTGACCCATCCAATTATTTTTGAGTCAAGATTTTAAGGACCAGGTCTGCTAATAGGCCCAGCATGAAATTCGATGTTCAAATACATGGAACAACATTGGCACAGACACTCCAACTCAAGCTGTTATTTATTATAAAATTTACCTCATTGTCAACAGCTGAGGCAAGAAGATAGTGATCATCTGGCGAGAAGCAGACCATCACATTTCCTTTAGAACTTGAAACTGTATAGCAGGGCCTTATTGGCTTCTGTCTCAAATCCCACATTTTAATATCCTGATCAAACGATGAAGTAGCAAAAATTGATGGGGAATGGTTTGAAAACTTGACTACATTAATATGTTGTTGGTGCATATCTGTGAACACTTGTAAGCGTGTTCCACTGCTGATATCATACAGAGCCACATTTTTTGAGTACCCACTTGCGAGAAAGATTTCATCCGTAGAGTTAACATGAACAGATGTTAATTGGTCAAACTCATCAAAGGTGACAGAACCAGCACCAGTATGTACGCGGTTGGAAGTTGTTGTGAAGTGCTGAATATCATACAACTTCAGTGAGCCATTATCCGAACCAGCTATCAGCTGAATGAAAAAGGTAAAAATCAATCAAAAACAACCATATTTTGGATTTTAGTATGGGCCAGAACAAAATGTCCAAAATTGCATCACATCGTTAACGAGTTGATATTAAGGGATGAATATTAGAAGAATGGTTGAGTTCTCTAAAAGTGCTAAGTGTGAAATTTCTACTAAAACAGTAAAATTCCACAAAAGGAAAAGGAAATAGAGTTTAATAGGGAAATGCATTTATGAAGTTAGAGAGTACTGCAGTTTAATGTCCCTTAAGAATACCTATTTACTCACCTTAGAGGGATAATTCTTGAGCCAACAGAGTCCCAAGACACTATTCATTGCCCCAAGTGAAGGGATGTAACTAACAATTTTCTTGTTTTCATGGTTGACAACAACTACTTCACCATCTAAAGTTCCAAAGACCATCAGGCTGGAGTTAGATGGATGATACTCAAACTGCCTTGGACGAAAGATCCTGTTTTCATCTCCCAAATCACTGCCTGAGATAGAAAGTGAATGCAGACATGGCCAAGCTGAAGATCCCATCTTTGCAGCACAGATAGATCGGGTATAAAAATATTCAGACTTCCCAGCAGGATCCAATGGCCTTTGCTTCGGTGCCGTCAAGCTAGTGTGGCTTGCTCTAATTTCACGCTTCTGCAATATACTAACAACATTTTCTCTATTGTTCCTTCTGTAAGGCAGGTATTCAAAATGTTTAAAAAAAGTTACATTAGCTATTTCCCTGTCAATATTTCTGATAGGTAAGTTATCCAAAACTCTCAACTGGGGTATTGAAGCTATCATGTACTCCCTGTAATGTTTCTCAAAGCATATTGGTGAAGCATGTTCAGAAATGTACTTGAATGAAACATCTGCAACATGTCCTGTTAAGGCACCTTCACTAGACTCTTCTTCATTTTGATTTGACAATGGAGCAGAAGAAACCTGTCAAATGAATTAGAAGAACAAACAAGGACTGTTAAAACCAAGGCCTAAGAAGAATGGTGTTAAACAAGATAAGGAGAATTTACTACTCCAACTCCAAAGAACAACTTAGGAATTTAGATTGAACAGCATAACTAAATCCTAGCATGGTATCCTCATCCATTTCCCAATCTACAAAATAAAGGAATTTCCACCTAATATTAAGACAAGATCATGAGATATGAAAAGGAAATACTAATAACAATAATTAAAAACTTCAAGCTTTGGACAATTTAACTGTCATTTCGGGATTTATCAGTGCTGGGCAACAAAATTATTTCTCCTTGATACCATCATTACATTAAAAAAAAAAAAATAACTTCCTCTTTTAGCACCCTCAAACCCCGCAATATGCTATTACCAAAACAG